AGCGTTTGTGGAGACTGTTATAACGAACGCTGTATTAAGTTTTTTCTTAATAATAAAGAATAATAATAATAATAACATTAATAATAATACATACTACATACATACTGATGTTATATAAGTTTTTTGTCTGGATCTATTCTCATTGAATGTTAAAATTGGATTGTGAGGAATGACTTTGAACCTATGATGATGATGATGAGGATGAAGAAGATGAAGAAGATGATGGAAAATAACAGAAACATCGATAATGATAATGGTGGAGATGACGAGGACGACGACGATGATGATGATGATGATGATGATGACGCGACGTGATGGAATAGTGGTTGCGAAGAAAAATGAAAAAAAAAATGCAATGATGATGTTTCACTGATTGGCTTAATTTGTGTTTGTGCACATCTTTAACGGCTGATTCAGCCTGGTAATTTCTGTATATCATTATTATCTCTATACAGTATCATATCATCTTTACAAAGTATCATATCATCTGTCCGCAATGTCATACGATCCTTTACACAGTATCTTATGATATTTTCACAGTATCTTATAATCTTTACAAAATACCATATGATCTTTACATAGTCTCAGGCAACATGATAATGTGCCGGCTTTGACTCAAAACGTCGCGCATTTAGTGATTTCTAAGCCTTAGAATCTAAGGTAATTTCTATATATCATTATTATCTTTACACAGTATCATATCGTCTTTACAGAGTATTACCTTAGATTCTAACCTTAGAATCTAAGATAATGCCTATACAATGCATATTTCCCATTGGAAATTTTCGTTTGTTGGATAATACTTGTTTCAGAATCTTCGAGAAATATCTACTGACGGTTTTGTACAAGGTTTTCTGATTTTTGATTCCGAACAAAAACATTTACTAGACGGTATTGTCACTGGTGTATTTATAAGGTGGTATTGGCTGACGAGCTAGCTTGCGGATTCTGGCTCAATCAACTGAATGGTTTCATACGGTATGTTCAACAGTTGTTCTAGCGACAATACTCTATTCATGTCTTGAATTTAAACTCTGTCGTTCCATGTGCATATGCTGTTTCAAAGAAAACGCATGTCACCTGTGATAAAATGCTCTGACTTTCTTATTTCTGTTTTTGTCCGCAGTTTTTGTTCAGCCTTTCAACCTATGTAACTTTTTGCAAGTTAGGGTGGTTTTTTGGCAGGATTTTTAAATTTTTCTAACAATTTTTGTAGCACTTTTGTAATGTATGTAATTAATTAAGTTACATTTTTGTAAGTTTTAAACAAAATGTTCTAGCGTTTTCTCAGTTTTTTAGCTAATTGTGTAATATTTTTGTAAGTTTTGTAATAAAATCTGTAATATTTTTGTAGCGTTTTTGTAACTTTGTGCAATTAATGTCTAGATTGCTTGACCGCTCAGTATATTCCTACTCCAGAATAATCGCTTTCACTTGCTGGTTGAATTTTTAGTTTGTTAGTCTGCCTCGTTTCAAGAAGTGAACATTCGGAGAGGTTTCGATGAATGATCACAAAAAACAATGTTAACTTTCTTCTGTAGGATTTCTTTTCTCCATTATTTTGAAATACTTTTTAACTTTTCAAGATTTAGTGCACGTATATTTATTTATATTTCTTCCTTTCGTCATTCTTATTTTTCATTCATCAATTCATTTTTAATTCACTCATTAATTCATCATTCGTTCGTTCGTTCGTTCGTTCATTCATTCATTCGTTCGTTCGTCCATCCATCCATCCATCCATCCATCCATCCATCCATCCATCCATCCATCCATCCATCCATCCATCCATCCATCCATCCATCCATCCATCCATCCATCCATCCATCCATTCTTTCTTTCTTTCACTCATTCATAAAATTCATTTATTTATTTTCGATTTCTCAATTACCAGAATTCAAATATGTTTTGCGGTGCAATTTTTATACACGCGATTTTGTACTGTAGTTGTTTTTAAAAAGTTTGATGAAGAAGATTTTTTTTTTTTTTTTTGAAAAACTAGAATTTCTAAGAATTCAATAACGGAGAACTTTTTTTCGCTTTAATTCGTTTCGTTTTGTTTATTATGCCTATTTTTGAGTAATTCTTTTGATTTGTTTATTATGTTTTTCTTTGTTTGGTATAGTTTCTAGAATCCATTTGGTAGGGTTTGTACGTTCGTTGTGTTTTGTGTGTGTTGTAATGTGTGCTGTATAAACGCTAAGTATGTCAACACAATTTTGTGCTTCTGTGGGATTTTCTTTTTTCAGATTGCTGTCAACTTATAACAACAACAACAACTACTTGACATGACATTAACAACAACAGCTACAACAACAACAACAACTACTACTACTACTACTGCAACAACAATACAACAACACCTACTACCACTACTAATACTACTACTACTACTACTACTACTACTATTACTACAACTACTACTACTACTATTACTTCTACTACAACAACAACAGCAACAACAACTACAACAACAACAAATTCTGCCAACATGCATGCATGGAACTATGTACGCATACCTTTTCTCGAAATGTTGTAATACAAACTTTGTATATTTCTGCGGTTTGTAGGTTGAAACATTTTTTTTGTTGTATTCGTGATTGTTTTTGTATTTCGAATGTTTTTGTATATTTTTACGGCTCAGCAACATCACAAGAAGAAAAACATCCACCAACAACTGTTCTCAACTCATCACAAGTGCACTAAATAGTTTTATTATTATTATTATTATTACTCATAATTTGATAATAATAATAATAATAATAATAACAACAACAACAATAATAATAATAATAATAATAATAACAATAATAATAATAATAATTATTATTATTATTATAATAACAATGATAATAACAAAAATAATAATA